AACGTAAGGGCTGTGTCCCAGGGGGAAAGCAGGAAGCTTTTGATGCGCCTACATGTCGGCGCAAGTGCTCTGGTTGGGAATCGCAGCATTGCGTTCGGCTTACAGACCAAAGGGGCAAGAGGAGGAGGAGGAGGAGGAGGAGGAAGAGTCCAGAAGTTAGCGCGAGGAATTGTCGATTGTGGATTCAGTTTCGACGCGCGGCCCAGGATTAGCAAGGCTGGCGTACAGGTGGAGGGGCCGAGAACAAGCCAGGAAGCGGTTCTTCGGCGATCGGTGCGAAAAGCCAGCCGACGGTTCTGCAGGTAGGTAATCAGAGGGAGATAACGAGAGTGATAAACATGTGTTGGGGGGGGAGAGAGAGAGAGAGAGAGAGGGAGAGAGAGAGAGAGAGAGAAAGAGAGAGGGGCACAGAGAGGCAGAGACAGAGAGAGAGAGAGAGCACAAAAGAGAGAGAGCGAGAGAGAAATTACGAGAAGGACAGAGATATAGCGAGCGAGGGAGAGAGACCGACAGAGATACACAGAGAGGGGTATAGAGCGAGAATGATAGGGACAAAATGAGATAAGACATGATTGAAAGATGGTGATTAAGAGTGAGCGGGGGTCGAAGGGAGCGAGGAAGATGGCAAACTAGGCGCGCCCGCGCCATTCTGGCATCCTACCCCTCCAACACATCCCTCCCCGAGAAGATGGAGGAGGAGGAGCAGAATGATAGCAGGAGCAGGAGGCTTAGGAGGAGCAGGAGGACCAGGGGAAGGCGGAGGAGAGAAAAGGAAGGGGACGGCATCAACGAGGAACGAATCAGATCCAGAAATGCGGCCCACGCTGCGGCGGAAGCGCAAATCTAAAGGACGGGAGCAAGGCACCGATTATTGACATGCGGCGAACGTTGCAGCGGGAGCACCATGTTCTAAACATAGATATATCGGAGGTGGGGGGGTGAGATCGCAGTGGAAGGGAGAGCCCCCCACCGGAAAATCGGTGTCGGTGTCACGTTCGCGTTGTACGCGCGGGCGATCGATAGTGGGATCCGTTGTGGTATCGATCGTGAGATCGATCGTATTTCAATGATGTCCCGGTATAGCACCTCTGTTGCCCCGATCGTACTGAACAGCACTCGCTGTGAGGTCTTCAGTGGGATTTGGTGAGATGTCGATCATGGGATCGAAAGTGAGATATATTGTGACACCGATTGTGAGATCGATACTGAGATCGATGATGAGATCTATAGTGCGATCAGTCGATTGGAGTTCACTGCGAGGTCGCATTTATGTTGTGTGAGCTCCATCGTGGCTGTGTCGCCTTCATTACAATCAACACTGTTCATTATCACCATGAGCGGCATCGTGCAATGTCGCCACCTCATCGCCATCACAGTCATTGTAATTGTTGTCACTGGTTCTTTCCCCCCCCCTCCCAATCTCCTTTTCACCCGAAGGTTGGCCGTATAGGTATATGTAGATACAACCACACTTCGGGTGATCAGGAGGTTGTGGGAGGGATTCAGCTTTCGGTGTGCGATTGGGGTCGGATCGGATTTGGCAGAAACCAGTTGGGCACCACGGAGCACTTGCTTGGTCATCTGTCTATCAATCTCTTTCTCGAAATGCGGGGTGAGGTTGGGGGGTGAGTCCGAAGTGAAACGGATACCTCCCAACGGGAAATCCGTGTCGGTTTCGTGCTCATGCCGTGCGTGCGGGCGAGGCGAGATTGCGTGGGCGGGCGAGAGGAATGAACCCGCCGTGGCCAGGGCGAAACTGAGCCCAATGACTCTACGCTCACTGGTTGGCCGGCGGTGGCTCGGGGGTGTCCCGCCAGTGTCCCGCTGGTGTCCCACCATTCGTCCCGTGGTGTCTTGTGGTGTCCCGAGGCGCGATGCCCCGTGGAGTCCCGTGAGGCCGGTCGATTTTGAGATCGATAGTGGGATCGATAGACAGATCGATAGTGAGATCGATAATGTGGTCGGTTGTAAGATCGATAGATAGTGAGATCGATCGATAGAGTGAGATCGATCGTGAGATCGATAGGTAGATACATATTGAGCTCGATCGAAAGATGGCCAACGGTTGCTCGTGGTGCCCGACTGGTTTCCGCCGAATCCGATCCGACCCCAATCGCACACCAAAAGTTGAATTCCCCCACACCACTTTCTTACCACCCGAAGGGTGGCCGTATAGGTGCGTGGATATATACATACTAGGAAAACCAGAAAGCTATTGGGTCAACAAAAAATGTAATGAATATGGGTGACGGGGGGCGCCCCCACACAAGACAGCATCAGGGAGAGAGCAGAGTGGTATTCATGATGTGCAACTGCGGAGGGCGAGGGGGGGTCGAAAGAATGGGGGGTAGGCAGTCTTAGGGCCAGGGCTGGAAGCAGGGAAGCAGCTGGGCCCAGAGGTAGGGGGAAAGCGAAGGAGACTCTGCAGGAAACTGCGCGTGCCCTGCCCGCTCTCTGCCCTGTCTGCTCCACCCCGTCTCCCCGCTCTCTGCCCTGTCTCTCCGCCTGCACTTCGGTTTAAATCCCGCCGTGCCGTTTTCTTCACCCCGTCTTCCCCCGCCCCTTCGGTCAAACGCCCACACAGCTTTCCTCCCCCTGGCGTCCAGCCGTCGTCCGAGGAGGAGGCGCAGAAGGCGTTACACACCGCTGCAAGCTTGCCCGCCTCAGGGCTTGTCGAATGCCGCGTTCAACGGCCGGCGCGGCAAGATCGCGCCCTTCGCCACGAAGATCGATGGGCGGTTGACTGTGCATCTGGAGGGCTCCAGCACGAGCCCTGGATCTGGCACGAAGCTGTCCTTGAAGCCTGAAAATTTGGAGAAGGACAGCTGCCTTTCAGCATTTTGCGAGCGTTCGAAGCGTCAATGTCAAGCCTCCCACGCTTCAGGAGCACAGATAGATGGTCCGTGGCCAGCCTCCATTCATTGATGCCGCAAATGGTGACCCTGACCCAGACCCCTGCGACGCTGACCCACACCCCTGCTAGCGATACACGGGTACGCGCGCACAGAATGGTTCCCGACGGTTTCTCACGTTTTAAGTGGCAGTGTGAGTGGTTTCGATGGAGCAGCGTGATAACACAAGTTGGGGTTTGCATTTCATGGGCAAAGAACATTGCTTGAACGTGTTAGCATGCAGTGCATTGAGGTATCGGGGCACCGGGCAGGACCTTGGCACACTAGCAAAATATTCGGGATACATGTTTATACCCGCATTCGCGGGCCTCGAAGTGGAGCCTTCGGTGTTCCTGAGGTGTCCGAGATGGCCCAGAAGAGCGGCCAGAGACCCACAAGATTGCCCCAGAGGGTCTCAGAAGGCCTCGAGACCGCCCACAGGGCCGCCAAGACGACCCAAGAGGACCTCAAGCATACTTCCCGACAGCATGAGTCGGCGGAACAGTAGCGAATCTTGTTGGTGCTCCAGCGACTTTGGCTCGTAGGGAGGCTGGTTCCACCAGAGCCCCAGAGGAGCCACGGGCACAGGCCTCCGAAGGCTCTACGAGACCTCCTAGAGGGCTCAAGGACGGCCCCGAACAGTCTCAGAGGGGCCACGGGGCGTCCCAGGAAGCCTTTTAGCCCCCCCCCATCCTCCTCCTCCTCCTCCTCCTCCTCCTCCTCCTCCTCCTCCTCCTCCTCCTCCTCCTACTACTCCTCCTTCTCCCTTTCCTCCTCCTCTTCCTCCTCCTCAGTTTGCCAGGTAAGATGTCCACTGATTGGGCTTCGCGTGCTGCCGTTGTCTTGGCTGTAGTTGATGGCGTCCCGAATAGCTGCTCGAATCCATGTCACCGCATCCTGGCGTGCAGGGATTCTGTTCGATCCGTTTCGTCGTCGTGGTCGGTCCCCTGTCCGTCCCTCTTGGGGTCGGGTCGACGGTCCGCGGCCGCCCCGCCGATCAGCGCTGCCGCTGGCCAGGCCGACGGTCCGCGGCCGCCCCGCCGCTTGCTGGGGCCCGGCCTGCAGGGAAGAAAGATATACCCCCCAAAAGGGGTTCGATCGAAGACGAAGAGGGCGGGTATCGAGGGTTTGGGAAATACGCGTTATTGGACACTCGAGCATATAGGGGCGAACAGTCTTAAAAGTATTGTTGTTGTTGCTGTTGTTGCTGCTGTTGTTGTTATGGTAGTTGTAGTTGCAGTTGCAGTTGTAGTTATAGTTGTAGTTGTAGTTGTAGTTGAGTAGCTGTAGTCGCCGTAGTAACGTAGCACCCCGCAATTGCGGATAAGAGTGAGGGGGCGGGCGCGGGCGACGCGGGCGTCGTCGAGCCGGCGGACCTCGTGGCCCCCACCTTCCTTGTCGATGGCGCTCTCCTCCACCTCCTCCTCCTCCTCCTTCTCCTCCTCTTCCTCCTCCTCTCCTCCTCCTCTTCCTCGTCCTCATCGTCATCGTCATCCTCCTCCTCCACCTCGTCCTCCCTCCTCCTCCTCCTCTTTTCCTCGTCCTCCCTCTCCCCCCCTCGTCTTTTCATCATGGTCCTCCCATTGTCGTCCTCCCCCTCATCGGCCTCCATCATCGTCCTCCCATTGTCGTCCATCATCATCATCATCCTCCCCCTCCTCCCCCTCCTCGTCCTCCTTCTCCCCCTCCTCCCCCTCCTCCCCCTCGTCCTCCTGCTCCTCCTCCTTTTCTTTCTCCACGTTCTCCTTACATCCTCTCTTCTTCCTCGTTCTCCTCGTCCCCTGTTTACTCATCCTGCCTCCCCCTCCTTTCCCAAGATAACTGCAACGCAATCCTTTTTTCCACTTTATGCTCCCCGCCTTCTCTGATCAAGGCAACTCGCCAGGGCAAAGTTGCTGGACGGGCTGGCGTGGATGTGCGGGGCGTGAAGAGGTCCTTGCGGGCTCAGACGGCATGCAAGAATCCGCCGCCGCGCTTGTGCGGCATTGGTTTGTTCAGTGAACGTGGTTTAGGTCGCGGGTGGGTCGCGGGCTCTCCACCTCCACCTGGAAGGAATGCAAAAGCAGCCCGCCGCAAGCGCCAGAAAAATTGGTTCGTACACGGAACGAGGTTTGGGTCGCGGGTGGGCCGCGGGTTCTCCACAGGGAACGAATGCAAAGGATGCCCGCCGCAAGCGCCGAAAATGTGGTTTGTACCCTGAACGTGGTCGCGGGTGGGCCGCGGGCTCTCCACCTGAAACGAATGCAAAATATGCCCGCCGCAGGCGCCGAAAAATGTGGTTTGTACCCTGAACGTGGTTTGGGTCGCGGGTTGGTCGCGAGTTGGTCACGGGATGTGTCGCGGGCTCTCCACTTGGAAGGAATGCAAAAAAGCCCGCCGCAGGCGCCGAAAATTGTGGTTTGTACCTTGAAAGTGGTTTGGGTCGAAGGTGGGTCGCGGGTGGGTCGCGGGGTAGGTCGCGGGTGGGTCGCGGGTGGGTCGCGGGTGGGTCGCGGGTGGGTCGCGGGTGGGTCGCGGGGTGGGCCGCGGGGGGGTTGCGGGGTGGGTCGCGGGTTGGGTCGCGGGGTGGGTCGCGGGGTGGGTCGCGGGGTGGGTCGCGGGGTGGGTCGCGGGTGGGTCGCGGGTGGGTCGCGGGTGGATCGCGGGGTGGGTCGCGGGGTGGGTCGCGGGTGGGTCGCGGGGCGGGTTGCGGGTGGGACGACGACAACAAACAACAACAACAACAACAACAAACAACAACAGCAACAACAAGAATCCGCACCGCGGAATTCCACATCAGCCACGCACCCAGGGACAGTGAATGACCGTTCGGCCCCCTCACTCTGATAGTAGTAGTAGTTGTTGTTTCTGTAAAACTAGTACCAGTACTACTAGTAGTACTAGTAGTAGTGATAGTAGTAGCAGTAATAGTAGCAGTAGTAGTAGTTGTTGTTGTTGATGTTGTTGTTGTTGAAGCAATAGTAGTACTAGTAGTAGTAGTAGTAGTAGTAGTAGTAGTAGTAGTAGTAGTAGTAGTAGTAGTAGTAGTAGTAGTAGTAGTAGTAGTAGTAGTAGTAGTAGTAGTAGTAGTAGTAGTAGTAGTAGTAGTAGTAGTAGTAGTAGTAGTAGTAGTAGTAGTAGTAGTAGTAGTAGTAGTAGTAGTAGTAGTAGTAGTAGTAGTAGTAGTAGTAGTAGTAGTAGTAGCAGTAGTAGTAGTAGTAGTAGTAGTAGTAGTAGTAGTAGTAGTAGTAGTAGTAGTAGTAGTAGTAGTAGTAGTAGTAGTAGTAGTAGTAGTAGTAGTAGTAGTAGTAGTAGTAGTAGTAGTAGTAGTAGTAGTAGTAGTAGTAGTAGTAGTAGTAGTAGTAGTAGTAGTAGTAGTAGTAGTAGTAGTAGTAGTAAGTAGTAGTAGTAGTAGTAGTATAGTAGTAGTAGTAGTAGTAGTAGTAGTAGTAGTAGTAGTAGTAGTAGTAGTAGTAGTAGTAGTAGTAGTAGTAGGCAGAAGTAAAGACAGTTACTGATAGGGGCCATGCTCGCAAGGTTCTCTTGACTCCTTGGCTAGAAGCCGAGTATGGGAAACGCACATCGCTCTAGCATGCGAGCGTACGCGTGCATGCGTCTGTCCATCTAAATCGTTTCAGCCGTTCTACAGGTGCAGGAAAGCGCAGTTGACGAGGACGATGACGACATGCCGCCCCTGGAGTACGTGGGAGCTGGAGGAGTCGCCCCTGCACCAGCCGCCCCACAACCCTCTGGGCAGCAGGCCGCAGCTGACGACTACGACGACATGCCACCCTTGGAGTATGTGGGAGCTGGAGGTGTTCCTGCCACTGTACCCGTTGCCCAATACCCAGTGGTTCAGCAGGGCACAGTTGACGAGGACGACGACGACATGCCGCCCCTGGAGTACGTAGGAGTTGGAGTCACCCCTGCAGCGGCCGCCCAACAACCCATGGGGCAGCAAGGCGCAGTTGACGACGACGACGACGACATGCCGCCCTTGGAGTACGTGGGAACTGGAGGTGTTCCTGCTCCTGCACCCGCTGCCCGACCTGCGGCGGGGCAGCAAGGCGCAGTTGACGACGACGACGACGACGACGACATGCCGCCCTTGGAGTACGTGGGAACTGGAGGTGTTCCTGCTCCTGCACCCGCTGCCCGACCTGCGGCGGGGCAGCAAGGCGCAGCTGACGACGACTACGGCGACATGCCGCCTTTGGAATACACGGGAGTTGGAGGTGTTCCTGCTCTTGCGCCGGCTGCCCAACACCCAGTGGGGCAGCAGGCTGCAGCTGACGACGACTACGACGACATGCCACCCTTGGAGTACGTGGCTGTGGCGGCGTCTGCCCCCGCTCCGACCGGCCCACACTCGGCCGGGCAGCCTGGTGGGCATGGCGTCCCCCGTGGCGCTGGAGCGTCTGCCGCGGCACCACCCGCTCGGCAGGCCGTCGAGCGAGGAGGCGATGGGCAGCTTGGTGGGCATGCCGCCCCTCCTGGCGCTGGAGCTTCTGCCGCGGCACCAGCTGCTCGGCAGGCCGTCGAGCGAGGGGACGCGGGCGGCATGAGCTGTACGGGCGGCGCCAGGGGGACCACCCCGGCAGCGCCGGCGGCGGCGGCGGCTGCTCCGCAGGCCGGCGTCGGGGAGAGCTTGTCCGTCTGGGGCGCCCGGCGGCGGGGGGGGAGTCATCAGAGATCGAGGGACAAGAAAAACACGGGGACTGACCAAGATGTCGCGGGATCTTGTCGATGCCGATCTTAGTCATGGTCCGTGTCGGCCGTCGCCGATTCGCGTGGATGACCCAGGAGTTGACGTTGACCAAGATTGACGTTGCCCAAGATCGACAGGACGTTTCCAGGTTCAGTCTTGGTCATGGTCCCGGTTTCTTCCCGCGGGGGAGGGTTGAGAGAAAGTGGCCCCGATGGGGCCGTTAGATCTTTAGATTGCGGCCGCGGGCCCCAAAATAAACTTGCCGGAAGGTTGGTGGCCTCCCACTACCGAACAGGCAAAGACGACGGCGACGCGACAACGACGACGACAGCGACAGCAACACCGAGCGCCCCAATGACCATGACGACGTCGTCAGCGGTCACAGCAGCGCGGGACTTGTCGCCGCCGCAGTCGCCGCCGCTCAGGGGCAACGATTAAGGGGGAATATGCTCAGGGGGGACGCATCCACCCCCAATCGCACACTGATCGCCGACACTGGCCTGATAGCCCACCCCGCCCATGAACTAGCGGTTTTGCTATCGGGGGCCTGTACACCGATCTATCGGCGCTGACGGGGCTCGGACGAGAACATATCCGTTCCAGAGCGTTCCGGAACGCTCTCAGAGCGTTCCCGAACGCTCTGAGAGGGCCGCGGCGCCCGAGACATCCTCCAGAGCCGCCGGATCTCAGAGATTCCTCTCGCTTCGCGGGGTGCACGTCCGGAGCACGTACAGGCCAGTCGTTTTGGGGCTTGATTGGAGCCCCTTAGGGCATTTGGGGGGACCATATTGAGGGCCTTTGGGCTGTCTTGGTGCGATTTTGGGTGCCTTTGGGCTGTCTTGGTGCGATCGGCGAGTTCGCCGCCCGCTGTGCCCGCACTATCGCCGGAGCCCTTGGCTACCGCACCCACGAAAAAACAGCATGGGAAGAGAAGACGCGCAGTCCAGTCGTTGGCTCTCTCGCCTTTCTTGTCGGAGCACAGCACGTGCAGTAAGGATGTCGTTGTGGAGCCGTGCCGTTCGGCCCGCCCCAAGAAGGTGTTATCGTTTACGAGTACGCAGGCGTCTGCATGGTTTCTCGAGGCCTCATGGGGGGAGGTTTCTTGGAGGAGCCTCTTGGGAGCCTCCTGGGGGCCTCTTGGGAGCCTCTTGGAAGCCTCTTGGGGGCCTCTTGGGGCTTCTTTGGGGCCTCTTTGGGGCCTCTTGGGGCCTGTTGGGTACGTCTTGAGCCGTCTGGGAGCGCTCGTACGCCGTCTGGCCCCTTCAAAGGCCATCTTGGAGGCATCTCGCCGTCACCTTGGGGCTCTCTTGGGGTCCTCCTGGGCCGTCTTGAGGGCCTCTTGGGCCGTCTTGGGGGCCTCTTTTGGCCGTCTCGGACCCCTCTTGGACCGTCTTTGGGGGCCTCTTGGGCCGTCTTGGGGCCTCGTGGAGGCTGCTTGGGCCGTCACGGCCCTCGGAGAGCCGAAAAAACGAAACTTCAAAATCTTTCAAAAACTATAGGAAATCATAGATTGTATCGATTTTGGCTTCTGGTAGAGTTATTGGGGATCCTCTTGGAGCGTTATTGGGCCGTCTTGTGGGCCGCATGGGCCCCCCATGGGGCCATCTTTGGCCGTCCTGGGGCCGTCTTGGGCCGTTTTGGGACCATCTGGAGGCCCTCGTGCAGTCCCAGGAGGCCCCGGAGGCCGATATCATAGATTCCCATGCGTTTGGGTACGTTTTTCCGCCCCACGGAGGGGGGGGGGCAGTTTGGTGCGGTCATATGGCGCGGCTCCAGGGAGGGGGTAAGGGGGGAGACAGAATAATGTAACACAACACAATATGCACCAATTATGTAATAATGGAACACATTGGATACGTTGCATTATCGCCTTCGCAGAAATTGCTGCCGCTCAGCACGTCACTTCCGGACGTGGATTCTTAGGCTTACGCCACACCGCCGACCCCTTTGTTATTCTTGGAGGCTTCTGGGGGTCCCTGGGGAACGTTGGGGGCGTCTTGGAGCCGAAGGTTCGAAGTGCCCGGTCCGGTTTGGGAGCCTATGGGGCCGTCTTAGGGCGGTCTTGGAGGCATTTTGGAGGGTCTTCCGCGCTGTGAAGGCCGAACCATCGTATATCGAAGCCGATTTGGGGACCTCTTGGGGCCCCTTGGGGCCTCTTGGAGGCCTCTGGGGAGCTTCTTGGGGCCTCTTGGGGGCCTTTGGGGGGCGTCTGAACACCGTTTTGGATCCTCTTGTTGCCTCCTGGGTGTTTCGGATGCCAAAAGGGACTTCCTGTCGCTTGTGCTTACTAGCGACGTTCCGGGCCTCTGGGGGCGGACGGCTGGAATGTTCGTTTCGTGGTCCCCCTTTCGGGCCCCTCTTGGGGCCATCTTGGAGCCCTTTTGGGTCGCTTTGGGCGCCTCTTGTGCCGTGTTGGGGACTTCTTGGGAGCCTATGGGGCCATCTTAGGGCGGCTGTGGAGGCATATTGGAAGGGCTTCCGCGCTGTGAAAGCGGAAAAATCGTATGTGCCAGAAATGTACGTTTTCCCATGGGAATTTGACGATGTTGGCCTTTGGGAGGCATCCTGGGAGGCCTCTTGGAACGTCTTGGAACGATCTTTCGGCCCAAGTTAGGCGTCTTGGAACGATCTTTCGGCGTCTCGGGGCCCTCTTGGACCATCTTGGGGGCCTCGTGGGCGGCCCCAGAAGCTGTCGTGGACCTCCACCAGGAAGGGCCGGACCCCCTAGTGAGTTTTGGCCGGACGGCACCCCCCCTCCAAATCGACAGGACCGGGATCCAGGGGGAGGGTTTTGGGAAGGGGAAGCTTCTCACACGCCGATGATCCCCAAGGGGTCGGCGGATTCTCGTTTCGTTTGGGCGTCGTGTAATGGGGGGCGATCAAATGGGTGGTCGGCGAGGGCTGCAGAAAAGGAGCCTCTTAGGGCCCCTAAAGAAGCCATACAGGGCCCAAGAAGGTTGCATGTGGGGCTCGAAAAGTCGACTCTCTTCCCCCCCCCCTTTTTATCGCCCCTCCATTTCGCGACGCCCAAATTGATCCTCGCCGTTTTCTCATCCCCGTCCTGGCTGCGCCTTACGCTCCTGCAGGAGGCCCCTGGCCTCGAGGGGCGCCCTGCCCGGGTCTTCGCAGAGCCGCCGAGGGCCCGCGGCGGCCCTCGGCGGCCCGTGCTGGCGCGGAGGGGCCGCCGCGAGGGCTTGGCGGGGGCAGAGGTCAGCCAGACCCCAGACCCCCTCGCGCTGGGAAAAAAACACCCCAGACCCAGGTAGGGGGCCAGATGCGAACCCTACCCCTACCCCCTACGATTTCCGAGGGGGAGGGTGGGGTTCACCTCGCTCGGGAGCTCCCGAACGAAGTGAACCCCACCCTCCCCCTCAGAAACCGTGGGGGTAGGGGTAGGGTTCGCATGTGGCCCCCTACCAGACCCCCTCGAGAACCTCAGCGACCTCCCCGACCAACAGGCCGACGAGCTCCCGCGGCACAGTCTGCTCCTGGCGCGTCTGGTTGGCCGGCGGCAGCAGCCGCTCGCACGCGCCCGTGCGGCCTGCCCCAACGACCAGCATCCCGCCTGCAGTCCCATGTTTGTCAGTCCGTGGGGGATTTGCTGCAGGCTAGTGTGGTAGACATACATACACACACACACCTTCTCGCGTTGTGAAAAAGTCGCGACGGGAGGTGACGAGAAGCGCCTTCTCGGAACGAGAAGGTGATGGGAGTTTTCTGGCATTTCTAAGTGAAGTATAAATGAAGAACAAACTTACGTTGGCGGCTTCCGCTCAAAACGGCCGTTTCGCTCGAGGCATCCTCAAAATATCGCCTCCGGAGAGGACTCCGAGCTAGCATTATCTTGGAATCGCTACCAGAGGGCTTCAAAACGGCCCCAGAGAGCCCCCGAAGGCCCCCTAGGGAACCCCCAAAGCGCCCCCAAGAGACCCCCAAGAAGCTCCCAAGAGGCGCCCACACGCCTCCAAGAGCGCACGAAGAGGCCCTGAGACTGCCCAAGAGAGCCCCAAGGCAGTCCAGTCCAAGAGGGTCACAGAAGCCCCCAAGAGGCTCCCAAAAGGTTCCCAACGGGCTCCCAACAGGCCTTCAACAGGCTGCTCAGAGGGCACCAGAGACCGCAAAAGAGCCCCAAGAGCCCGAGACTGCCCAGGGCGGCAGATGACGGGAACCGCCTCTGGCGTGCACCGTTCTTATGAATCCGCTTTTCTCTGCTTATGGGGTCCGAGCTGCACCCCGCCCCGAGAGAGGCCCAAGACGGCCCAAAAGGGTCTCAAGAGACGCCCAGGAATGCAATACTCATTGATTCTCGCACGGCTGTTTGGCTACACTTCAATATGTCCTACCAAAGTCTTCAGACCAGCACGGCTCCAAAAGGATCACCACAGAGACACACGCTTCACAGCACCTGTATGTTTCATGGGTCGGCGTTGGCGTTCTCCACCATACGTTATCTGACACGCTAGGTGGACAAAAACGGCGCTTCCCGTTCTTGTCCGGTCAGGTTCTGCTCAAAATGGCCGTTTCGTTTGAGACGTCTTCGAAAAAGTGAGATGTTGATGCCGTGTAGTTGAGACGTCGTTTGTTAAACATAAGGTTATCGCTCGATACATCCTTGGAAAACGAGCTACTGAGCTCGCTCGCGAAATTGAGCGAATCGTTGAAATAGTTTTTCGTCTGAGACATCCTCGAAACAGTTAGATGTGGAAGCTGTTCGATGAAGACGTGTTTCGTTAAAAATGGGGCTCTCGCTAGAGACATCCTCGGAAAAAGGTCCTGTCTCGTTTCGCCTGAGACATTCTCGAAAAAGTGAGATGTTGAAGCCGTGTAGTTGAGGCGTATTTTGTTAAAAATGGGGCTCCCGCTCGGGACATGTTGTCTCCTCCGTCTCTGAGGTCTCATCCGTCTCCCAGGTCTCCGTCTCT